ATTTAAATCTCCTTCAATAAAAATTATTTCTTCAATAGGTATTATTTTTATTAATTCTTGTAGTTCATTCCAGAATTTTTCTTTAGAACCCATATTTAAACCTACTTGAGCAGCATAAGTATTTATAATATTAAAAAATATTAGTATCAATAACAATCTTAAGAGCTATAATTCTATCTCCAAAATCATAGCCACCATAAATATTTCTAAAAGCTTATGTCACTCTACCAAGATGTCCATTTGAATCTCCTCAAATAAATTTTTTTTTTCTTCAATAGGTATCATTTGTATTAATTCTTCAAGTTTATTCCAGAGCTTTTCTTCAGAACTTATATCTAAACCTACTTAAGGAGCATAATCACTTATAATATTAAAAATCTTAGTATCAAGCACCATCTTAACGGCTATAATTCTATCTCTAATTCTATTTATTTATGATCAATTGAAAATTTTAAAAAAAAATCTTTTTATGGATTACCCATTTTTGTAGTAGAAGACACTACCACTAGATCTAGGCCGAAGGAGATAATAGACATTAATATAAAATGTTGGTCGCTAAATAATGATAGTTGGTATACGAAAAATTTTTCATGATTTAAGCATCAGATCAACATTCATGTTATGGTAGAATAAAGATGAGTTTGAATTTGTTTGGATAAATTTGGTTTCTATTTGTACTTATCAGTTCGTTATTACAAATAGGATTTTCTTCTTTTGTAGAGTTTTTTTAGGAGTGGATTAAATCTTTTCTCATTTGTAATTATCTATTAAAGGATTGATTTCTGGAATAAAAGCTACTGGAAAATCTTCTCCAAAATCCTTCTTCTTCTTCATTCCCTTTCTTCTCCCAACCAGCTCAGCTCTTCAATCAATTGAAGGTTTTTTGATACTTTTCTTGAAGTTGAAACTTCAAAAATCCTTTCTGGGGCTGATTTCCTGTAGCATTGCAGCCTGTTGTTGCTGCTGTTGGAAATCATGGCTGGGAAAGCTATCCAAAATAAGAGAAGAAAATTAAAAAGGTTGATCCTATTACTGTGAAAAGCTATTTGACTTATAGTTATTCTGAGATGAACTATCATCCATGCATGATGAATTATATTTAGGGTTTGAAGAAATTTGGGCAACTTATCAACACGTTATGACACATTTTTTATGACTTGTTATATCGACAGGTCGAATGTTATATTAATGATGTGGTTGTTAAAAGTTGTTGAGAAGACCATTTTATTGACTTGAAGAGTGTTTTAAAATGCCTCAAGCCATATATGGTCTTAAAATAAACCCTTTGGCATGTGTATTAGGTGTGTCATCAAGGAAACTTTTGAGGATAATTGTTTAGCATGGGGGCATAGAGGTCGATCCTACAAAGATAACGGCTATTCTAGAACTGGAGCCAAACTAGAATTGGAGACTCGAAACACAAATTCTCTTATTTTTCACATGCTGTTTAATTATGTCTTTTATCATGTTATTCGTATCACGCTACATTAAGCATGAGCGTACAACTAAAATTCTGCACGAGCCATTATACTCTATTGACCTGGATAAACTGCATGGTTATCGCAGACTTGTTGGATACATTCAGCTGCATTTACGATGATTGGCACTTCATTTATAGAGGAATCCTATTGATTTTATTTTTGGTGAGTGATTTGGAGCACGTATGAATATAATTAATTAAATCATATTCCATTGGTGAACAATTTTCTACTTTGGGGCATTTACATTAACACCTAAACTTATCCTATTGCTCAAGTTACACAACAATGCTTCATGGTAATTTGGTTCATCTCTACCAATGATTTTACCTTATTTAAATTCTTTGTAGAGGAATTTTTCCCAATATTGCGTCATTTTAATGTTTTATTGTTTCCTTTTAATTCAAAGTATTGGATCTTTTCTTTTTAAAGGGGCTCCAAGCGAATTGGTTGAGGACCCTAAATTTGTTCCATTAAATGCTGATGATCCAGTATTTGGTCCCCCAGTAAGTTGTGGCAGTTACTATAATGATTATAAAACTATATGATGACTCTTTTAGGCATGAATAGTTTTCTGCAATTCATTCTTACATATATATTACTTCTAATAGTTTCGCATATCAAACAAATGTTTCTTTTGATAGGCTTTATTTCTGATGGGATTTGACTTGGCAGAAACCAGTAAGGTGCTTATGCTTCTGATTTATTTTCAGTTACATTGTATTATATTTGGCCCTCATGGATTAAACGGGCATTGATTTTGTATGGTAAAGGGACTAAAGTAGAACACCCTTTTTCATGTCATGATTTGTAAATGAGGGATTGATGAAATTCAGAATAATGCAGAATATAAGCGGCATTCAGGATAATTTTATTGATATGAAAGCGGATATAAATAATCCTTACATGATCCTAGAATAGGAAAGATAATAAAAAGAAATAATATAAAAATGAAAGATATTTCACCTAATATCTCCAATAATTAAATCAGATCAATTATTTGGAGATAAAGGAAATAACATAAAATAGTAAAGCCTAAAATAGGGAAGGAAATGATAACTAATCTATGGAAATAAATATAAAATAGGATCCCCTTGGTACAGTATAAAATAATTAATTCCTCTTTTGACAGACAACTAGCTTGTCTAGGTGACAAAAATCACTTCTAACTGTGATTTTTTTGCAATTACAGATGCAAAAATTCTTAAAAGAGCTGGATGGTGAATTTCTGAAGGTAACTCACCCATTTATTAACATTTCTTCGAAAGTAAGAAACCCTATATATCTATCTATCTATCTATATATATATATACATATATATATATATATATATACATATATATATATATATATAC